AGGACAAGAGGAGGACAAGGCCTGGACACAGAGCCCAGCCACAGAGCCCAGCCACAGAGGACAAGAGGAGGACAAGAGGAGGACAAGGCCTGGACACAGAGCCCAGCCAGAGAGCCCAGCCACAGAGGACAAGAAGAGGACAAGGCCTGGACACAGAACAGAGCCCAGCCATAGAGGACAAGAGGAGGACAAGGCCTGGACACAGAGCCCAGCCACAGAGTTCAGGGCGCGGCCAGGGAGTGTGGCCAGCTCTCTTTTTTCTAAGATAGAACCCCAACAGTAAACTGTTTGGGGAACAATGAATGCTTAAGGTCCAGATTTTAGACTTTCTATTTCCAACGGGGACTTTATATATGTGTATACATACAACATCATACAACCGTCTTGCGCTGTCTTCCGGCCTCAGAGTTGCTGGATGTGTCTTCCAACTCCGTACTGCCGACCTCTGCGTCAGACTCACCCGCTTTCGTTGCCGGGGTCACCGGGCTCACAGGCGCAAGCTTCATAGTCGCAGCCATGTGGGGTTTTGGCTTAGCAGGGCTCTTGAAGTTGAAAACCGGGAGGAGTTTGAGCACCAAGGCTATGCGACGGGCTCTGCGTTCAAAAACTCACATGATGCAGTTTCATGGAATGAAGAAAATGTAAAACATAGTCAGTATTACCTGCGGAGTTCTCACAGAGTCTGACTAGAGTCAAGCTCAAAAGGGGTCCGCTCTTCCCAAGCCTGTTGCGTAGCTAAATAGGAGGTGATTTGTGTATATATCGTGGGGAAAAGCTGCGAAGCCCCTTTTTCTTTGGCGCAACTCATCTCAAACCCCCGGATGCGCTGCACAACAGAGGTGTGGGCACACCTCTGAGTGACTTGCAATTTGGGATGGAGAAGTGACCTCTTCAAGGTGCTCAGGTGAACACTTTGTCCCAGGGCTCCACTTGGAAAGGACTGTCGGCTAAAACCCAGGGAAAACAAAGGAGTTGGAGCGCGTCTCTTCTCCAGCCAATTGCAGGTCTCCTTGAAGTTCAGTTATTAAATATGCACGCTCAAGCGACTCAAGCGCTTTGCACCTGCGCATCGATTTTCGGGGGCAGCCCTCAAGGTTAGTGACACAAAACATCTCAGTCCCGCTCCTGAGGGTGCTTGAAAAAGTTGAAGACGTTGTTCTTTGCCTGCAAGCTCAACCCTTGGCTGTTGTTTGGCTGGCGCTCCATGAAAACACACAAAAAAAATAAGAAAATCTAGGAACTAATGGAACATGAGGCTGAGGTCCAGTAGGTCTAGCATCCAGAAAAACTGCAAGTGTTTTCCGCCTGTGCCAGTTCCTGCCGCAGTTGCTGTCGCAACGTCTCCAAATCCTGGGCGCTGCGAAGACTCGCTGCATCTCCGCCATCGGGTCGGTCAGGTCCGATCTGAGGACTCCACATTCGAGCGCGCGCGGGACTCTAAGACCTGCGGCGAATCTGGGAAGACGCAAGAGTCAGGCTTCGTGGAAGAAAAGGAGGGTTCTACGGATAGGGTTCACCGGTATCCATAACGCGAGTTCACCATGAAATTCTGCGTGTGGAAAAATTTTTCCCAGAAACCTTACTTCTTCGAGTGACGTAAGATTCATGGTCTTTCAGCTCTCACGGAATGGCTGAAAGGTCCTGACTGAAATCTCGCAAGAGTTCGGGCTTTTCTGAGGGATGTAATGTATGTGATGAAAACATCACACTGCATAACACTGTTTTCGGCGGCCTAGGACTACTAGGACTGCAACACACCCTGAGCCTCCAGTTGTCGGGTGTAGGCCAAGACCAGGAGTTTGTGGAGCTCGCTTTTGCTCCTGGTTCTGATCTCTTGCTTACACATATTGCCATTTCTGTGAATTTCTGTGTGACAGACCTTCGTTCAACTCATGGTGCACCGCTCCTCAACATCAGCTGATCATAGGACGGCCGGCCCTTCACAGGGCGAACCTGAGCTGACCACCATCAAGAGAAAAAGATCTCCGAGGCTTACGTCCTCTGCACAACTCATGTCTCCCCAGACCCCAGCAGCACCATAGCAGCGGCACCCCGCAGTGGCACTCCATACACATCTGGCAGCGGCGCCCTGCGGCGGCACCAGCACCCAGGCTCCAAAACACACACAGGCGCCTCTTCCTACACTTGAAGTAAGAACCCCAATAGTTTTCGCTATCTGGTGAAAAAAAATATACCAGCAGCATAGACCTCAAACAGTTTGGTCGGTAAGAACTGTTATTGTGGGGTGAGCCGCAGCCCCAGCCCCCGCTTTGGAAAGCACCGCAAAGAGCACTACAGCAGCAGGACAACAGAAAGATCAGAGGACACGAGGAGGACAACAGAGGACAAAAGGATGAGGGAAGGAAAACACCGCGAACACACCAAGAGCACAAAAGAAAAACAAACTATGACCGGACAACGCCGAAGGGATAATAGGACGACATGAGGAACGCGCCAAAAGGAGAACGAGAGGAGTGAAGAAGGACAACAAAAAGGCAATAGAAGAACATGAGGAGGACAGGACCGAAGAAGTTGCGAGGAGAGAAGCAAAGAAGGACATCCGGACAGGGCTCGGCGCGGCTTGACATTGTGGCCAGTTTCTTCTTTCCTGCGAAAGAACCCCGCAAACAAAGGAGAACACATCGGTTTCTGGGGCTGTTCCTTGAATTGCGCTTGGGGGCGGTGCTTCGTGCGCACGCACACGCTGTCATGGTGTCAGGTCTACATGCTGCCATGCTGCCATCAGGGTGTCCTCCTCTTGTCCTTGCGGTGCTTGCAGCTGTCCTGCTGTTGTCCTTTGGCTGTGCTGGTCAGCCTGTGCCCTCTTCTTGTCCTCCTGGTGTCCTCTTCTTGTTCCCCTAACAATTTTCTTGTTAGGGTTCTCTCAGGTGTGCAGTTTGGCTCCTGTTGCCCTCATTATTTATCCATTTTCCTCCTCTTGTCTTCTTGTCGCCCTTGCCTTGTCCTCTGCTTGTTCTCTGCTGTCCTGCTTGGGGGGGAAAAAGTTACTTTTATGATCTTCTATGTATATATTCCTTTGTTTATACACGCAAGGTAAAAGAGTACGCCAGCATACACCCCCCCAAAAAAAAAGTACTTTTGTGGGCAGCACACTGCAGCGGCACTCTCTGCAGCGCCCCTCGGGCGGTGAGCCCCAAAGCACACATGGCATCTGGCAGCACCCTGCAGCGGCACGCACCCAAGCTCCAAAGGGCACACGGCCACACATCTGGCAGCGGCACCCTGCGGCGGCACCAGCACCCGATTAAGCTCCAAAGTGCACACGCACCTCTTCCTTACTTGAAGTAGGAACCCCAATAGCTCTCGCTATGTGTTGATTTAACTTCAGCAATCTCTCGTATGGAAGCCACCGTCATACCAACTGTAGTCTTTCTATTAGGAGTTTGAATTGTCCTCCAGTTTTGAACACCAAATCTAACAAGGCGCGTCAATCAAGCAGCCCTGCTCATCGCGGTAGAGTCCAGGATAGCCGTTTGGCAAAGCAAAGACCTTCCTGAGCGTTCTGGACCTACAGGACCTTCCTAAGTTCGACCCCACTGGAATCGAATCTTACCATGTCTCAGGGTAGCTTCCAGCCTCAAGTTGCCCTCTAGCTCTGCTTCCTGCTCGAACTCTTCCACTGACACCGCGCGAAAACCTGCGGCCATGCTCTCAAATGGAGAAAGGATCAAGGCTCGGTGTTGCCAGGGCAGCTCATCCAGGCCAAGGGCCAAGGTCTCCGCATTTGGGTCCTAGGTGGGGGGAGCCTGTCCTCGCCCCACCAAACCAGAACATGAAAGCCCCGACCTGCTTCGGCCAACGCAGCCGTGTAGTCAAAGTCCTTGGGCGGCCAATCTGGGAGAACATACCACCAGCGGCCTTAGAGCAGAAAGCTGGCCCAATCCAACCAAAGGCGACAAGAGGGCAAATGGATGGTCCAAATTGTCCGTGAGCGTGACTTCCACAGGTCTTGGACGTGACTTTGCCAAAAACAAGTCCTGACGCTGATCTGCCTCCTAACTTGTTGAGAACCTACCCCCCTGGATCTACTATCTGCTCCAAATATCCATCTTGGGATCTGGCAGAGAAGCTTGGCCACTAGCGCCTGCTTCGCACTGCGCTCGCGCGTCTTTGCTGCTGGCACCTCACCTCGGCCCAGATGGAATCCGTTCATCTGGTGAGGATCACACAGCGCCCAGATTTGGTGAAGCACTGCCCATCTTGGAAGAAAAAACACACCTGCTGGGCTGCTGGGCTTGAAATTCGCACTCATTGATGCCATCATGGGTATCTGTTGCCCATCATTATACTTTGTGTACATGTATATATATATATAATATATATACATGTATATATCTTGAAAAGCAGGAACAAGCAGTTGTGCCAAAAAGTGAATAGATAGACCCAACTCTGCAAGCAAAAGCACTGAGCCAACCGGCCGGTGCTTAGACCTTGCAACTCCACTGGCGCCCATCGTTGGGTGCAGCCTCGGAAGGCTCACTCAATGCACGCAGCCAACTACTAGCAAACAAAACAAAGGTATTCATTATTGTTGATTTGGGTATGAGAGAAGTAGGACGACCCCAGTTGGAAGGTTGAATGGAAAAGAACAACAAATGCAGTCAACCCGGGGAGACCCAAACAAGCCCATGTCTTGAAGCCCATGTTGTGCTTTGATCTCGCTTCCAGACTGCTGCCCAAGTTCACTCTGGTTCGCCACGCGGTCGTGCTTCGCGACAGATCTTGAGATCAACTGGACCCTGAAGGTGGTCATGACAGCCATAGTCAAGTGTTGAGGGGCAGCAGACCAAAAAATAGAGAGTGAGGAAAGGGAAGAAAACAAAGTACTGAATCTTGATTGGGAAATTCAAACCGAAATCCACCCGTCTCCTCGTCCTCCTCCTGTTCTACAAGATCCTCTTCGAGGTCCTCTGTCTTTGCTGTTGCAAGAATCTCCTTTGGCGAAGATGTTGGTTTCATCTGGCATGCAGCAACTTGGCAAGAAACAATGCCATCCTCGCAGTGCACAAGCAAAACATCACAGGCCCCATTTCACTGATGTTCAATCACCAGATAGGGAGCCCATCCTGATGATCCTGATCTTCCTCTTTGTCTTCCTCCTCTCCTGTCCAGCCCACTTGAAGGGTCAAAAAGAATGCAAGTACTCTGAAGAATTCATATGAACTTTTCAAACTCCTCTGTGATCCTCGAGATTGTAGGAAACAAAATAAAACAGTGGCCTTGTTAAGCAACCCTAGTAAGGACTCTGGAGTGTCAAGCGCAAGGCGGAATGTGGAGACAGTTGGTTTTGTTGGGAAAACCCACGTTTCTATGTGTCTGCAGCGATTAAAAATTTGACAGGTCAATCTTTGCATGGTGTTTACCGTGGCGTGTTCCATGTGTTGCAACTCTTGGCCGCTTCGCCTTAATTGCCCCCCCACCCACCCCCCTTGTCAAAGAAATGCCAAAAACCCTGGGTTCACTAATGACAACGGCGGCAAAAACAAATTGTTGACTATTGCCTATTGATATGTTGCCCTCGACAATTCAACAGCACCCAAGCAATCCCATACTGTAAATGAATTCGAACTCAAACCTGGCGCAGTCTGCTTAGCCTCGGTTCTGCCCAATTCTCGAAGGTGCGTCTCGAAATGGACCTAAATCAATGCTGGCAGTCTAACTTGGCCTCTCATCGTTCGCTTTTCCCAGTCCACCGGTCTTTTTGCCTGAACTCTCCGAGCTGGAGGATTCAGAGCTGCTCAGGCTGGACTCACGAGAGCTCAGGCTGGACTCAGAACCTGAGCGATTGACGACCAAAGCAAACCACCCTGTACCAACCATCCGGAATCCGGAGGATCATCCAGAGGATGTAGCGATTCATGATCTCATCATTCCGTGTCTATTCATGTCCCTGTTACTTCTTTGATGACGCAAGACTCGAATTCGTACCTGGCTCATTCGTGCCAGGCTTACCCAATCAGGTCACAGTGACCATCCTAAAGCCCGTTGAAAGCCCGAATCACCAACTTCTCAAATCCATCCAAGTACAGGGACTCCCACCTGATGTCAGCTCGAAGGCACACTCAGAAGATTCCTGGCTGTGGCGTGGTTTGTGCATGGCCAACATCAAGTCTATGTCTATAACCTGACATGGGTATTGAAAATGGAGATGAGCTCTGCAAAATACTGATGATTAGACTATATAGACCATTTTTCTTCGCATCACTTTCTTGCGCTCCTGCGACCATACTTTTCTTACGCGACTACAATGTGAGCTCACATGCGAAGTATGTCCCAAAAGACCTTACGCAGACCTTACGCATCGGCACTGAGAACACACGAGAACCATACCCCCAAAGGAAATGCTTAAGCGACTGTCCTTTTTGCAGATGTGCGAGCGACAAGTACAAAGCTTACGCAAAGCTTACGCAACATGCATGTCTCACAACTTCCTTACGCAACCTCACACCTTTGAGGTTCTTGTTTATGCCTATTTTCCATATGACAAGGCCATTGCTTAGTTCATCTTTGGAGGTTTCTTGCGGTGCTCAGATCTTCTCCCATGGTCAGAGGCGTCATAAAGAGAACCAAGAACAAGCAAGGCTCTAAGCAAGGGAGCTCTTGACCCTCCTCCATGTCCTCGACTGCGGACGATTCATGGGTGGGCTGATGGTCCTTGACAAAAGCCAGAAAGAGAGCTCCGAGTGAAATGTATCTGCAAATATGAGTGTGCTTGCCCGTGTATGCCTTTCTCCCCGACCTCCATTAATTCAAGTCTGCAAGTTCAAGCTGCTTTCCTGGCCCTGAAAAGTCTGCAATAGCAAATAGCTGGAGTCACTCCTGAGCCATGGCCAGCGTGGCCGCATCTTGCTGCGAGATCTCCTACGCGGCCCACGGTTGCACCCAACTCTACCGATTTCTCTGCAATTCATGTATGTGGGCTCAGAAACCAGTCAGAATTAATGTAGACTTCTAGACACTCACACTATGTTGCGTAATGTCCTTTGAGTTTCTTTGTGTGGATTCGGTTGTGTATATATAATCTAATAATATATGATTATAGTCATAGTATTATAATAGTAATACTTGCAAATATGTTGCATCACTTACTCTCCAGCTTGCTCCTCTCCACTCTGATTCACTTCAGCCTGTTTCTGGGAGATGTTCAGCAACGCATGCTCCTAGTAGCTAAACCCAAGTGTGACAGGACGTGTTCTTGAACTCACTGAAGTCATACACTCGGACAACACAACGTCACAACCCGAAACGTCACATGCTACGTTTTGCTGTGGAGAAAAAGACTCCCACAACTGGTGACCTGCCTGTCTGTCCTCATCTTCTTTGGAGGTAGGATGCTGCAAGTCCTGTGCATTGTTGTGCAGGGAAATTTGGAAGTCCCAACCTGGGGGCAAAACTGCACTAAACCGTGTGCTGTGCCACCGTGTCAATTGCCCTCAAAAGGGTTGCTCCTCTCCACTCTGATTGAATTGAGCCTTTTCCTTGGAGATGTTCTGCAGCACCTCCTATGGACACATTCACTGCCTAAGCGTCTCAAAATGCGCCGATGTCACTGAATTCATACAATCCTGAGAGGCGCTCACAGCAACCAAGCAAAAGCAGCTATACCCCTGGTACTGCCATGAATCATTCTGCCTGTCTGTCCTGCTTCCCTGCGTCATCTTCTTTGGAGGTGGGCTGCTGCAAGTCCTGTGCATTGGGGTGCATGAAAATTTGGGAGAAGTCCCAACAACCGCGTGCTGTGCCACCATGTAAATTGCCCTCAAAAGGCTTGCTCCTCTCCACTCTGATTGGAGATATTCTGCAGAACGTCCTCTGACCAAGAACTTGGAAATGTTTGGAGTGTCCGGAGAATTTCATGGAACACCCCTTTCTTGTCAAAAATCGGGGAATGCACTTAAGTTTCCTCCTTTGAATCCTTTGCATAACTTTCCTTAACGCTGCGCAGAACTTCACAGGCGCGAGTAACATCTGTGCTCTCCAGGTTTTGGACTTCTTCGCAAGCGATGAAGCATTTTGGCAAGAATTTGTTCTGCAACTCTGAATATGTTTCATGTCTTCTGTCCTGGCATTCTTGGCTGCCTTTCAAGAGCTCCTGGTTCACACACACTCAGGTGACTTCCGCCTGTTGTGGAGGGAGATGCCTTCGGTTCCTTTCCAACACCTTCCAGAAGGGGCCTTTCCAAATGGCACGGTTCTGTGTCCAAACAAAGGGCTTTCTTCCAGGGCCCCACTGAGCAGCAACCAGCCACTTCCATCCGACGAAATCCCCGTCCAGGCGTTGACGCCTTCGCTCCAACGCAGCCTGATGAGGAGGGCATCGCTCCGTGACGAAGTAAGCGCGTTCGTGATTGAAGGACCGAGTAAGGACTGAAACCTGAGAAGTCCAGAGGAGTGTGCAAGCAGACAAACTAATTATATAGGCCAAAACCATGAATCTGCATGGGCGTTTGTCCAGGGTGTTTCAATTCCGTTGGGGCATGCGGCACCTCACGATTCTGCCGGATCCTCTGCTCGGTTTGGGCGCCTGGGATGAGGAACCAACATGTCAAGGCTCCGCAAATGGAGAAACCTGGACAAGGCCTTGGATGTATGCCTTTATGTATGTAATGAGCAAAATCAAACGGGCACTCTGCAGCCCACCAGCATGTTCATGGATGATGCGTGCATCCCATTGAAACTGTTGGCGAGCTCTAAGAATCGGCACCACAAATGATCAGCGAATCATGATCACCCGATGCTTTCGCCACAAGGATTCCAAAATTCCGACAGCCGTTCAAGACCAAACTTGGATGCACTGGGTACCCTGCTGCGCCGCGCTAGCGCCACCTGCCGGTTCTTTTCCACAATGGCCTCCAAGCAGTGGCTTCATCGTTGCACAATCTCACATAGGGCGCAAGAATTGCCAGCATGGACCCCAACCAGTTTCAGCAGGATTTGTCCGGCAATTCCTTGAATTACAATGTCGGTAACTACAGTATATGTCTATAGCCTTTCGGAACAGCATATACAGAAAAGGGAAAACGGTACGGCCAAGAAGGGGACAAGCCGGGAAAAGAGACAAGAGGGCTGGCCACACGGATAAGCAGCCCATACAGACCCGTGCAAGACCGAAGAAAAGGCTCACGGAACCGAAGAAGACAAGGTCCGAAGCGACGGCGCAGCCAAGCATGGACACACAGACCCAGACAAGGCGACAAGCCCGGTTCAGACGGAGACAGGGCCACGGCGGCCACGGCCCTTTTTTCCCCTAACCGAACAGTAAACTGTTTGAGGATCAAACCTTTAAAATTCCAGGAGGTTGGAATCAGTGGTTTTACATGTTTGACACATGTATTCACGCGAGCCTTCTGCTCATCAGTCACGCTCTGCCTGCAAGTGCTGCTCAAAAATGAAGCGTTGAGCGTTCGCATCTTCAGATTAACTTGGTACTGACCTTTCATCTCACAACTCCTGTGGTGTTGCAACTTCAGCCAAGTGTTGCTCAGAAGAGGCTGATCAAGAAACACATGTCCGCCACAAAAAAGGCCTACAGTGGCTCATGCTAAAGTGGTCCGCTTCAAAGACCATCACCATCTCGGCAGCTCACCCGATTCATCCCCACTACGGTTCGATTCCCTCCCCATCCACGGATGTTCTCGGGCCTGTTCGGTTCGGAGTTCTCGTCCACACGCTGGCGCTTCGCAGGGCCCTACGTCGATGCGCGATACGGCGAGACCGCGAGGCGCGGCCGCAGCAACCAAGTAGGTTCGAAACGGAAATCTGTTCACAAGTGGTATATAATCCACGGAGAAATGATCCTTTCATGCTTATTTGACGCTGCTACCACATGGACATGTCCATACATATATATATATATATATACACACGACAAGTGATAATAGGAAAATAACTCAAAACATACTGCACAGTCTATGCTTATTCTTCACAGGGTGTATCGAAGCTTCTAGGTCTAGGCCAGCGAGCGCTTGTTCGAGAGCATTTGCCTCCACCATGGCGCCATACCCGAGACCATGGCCCTTTGGGAATTGAGCCCAGTGACAGTGTCCAGAAAGTTCCTTGCAATGCCTTGTCACAGAACCATCCTATCTCCGCAAAGCAACCCATGCTTCTGCAGAAGGATAAGCGCTTCTTCTGTGTTCCGCTCCAAGCACTGGAAGTTGAACATAAACCATGCTCCTTCGACACGATTTTGTTTGTCTTCTTCCAATCTTGGCAGGTTGGCGGTTGCCAAGCCTACCAGCAGGGCTACTGATGCCGAGAACAACAAAAGCAATCTATAACTTTCGTTGTGTATCGCCACCTCAGCCATGAGCGCGGAAGAGTTTCCCGCTGGTGACTTGGAGGCCCATTTTGGCGCCCAATGTGCACTTCGACTCTTCCACACCATCACATATACTTGACATTAACTTATCCCACAAATTTGGACTAGTAACAAGTGCATCGCTACTAGATCTACTAGTAAAAAAGGACATCACTACTAAGAGCAAGAAGCTACTAGTAGCTCCTGTCATTACAAAAAAAGAATGCCAAGTTACATCCTTCTTTGCGTCCGGACCGCAGTGGCTACGGACTCCAGCACAAGCCCGGCCACGGACGCAGTCTCTGATGACCGCTGGGCTGTAGCCCAAGTTTCGCGCCCGGGCCTAGGGCAGGAGGGGTTGATGTAGAGCTGAAAAGCCACCAGGTCATTCAGGAATGCTAGCTAGCTTGGGTCAACAACGTCACCCTATCTTCCCTGCGCCCGCGCCTTTCCGCGTCTGGATAAGTGGTTGGTTGTTTACAGTACGTGGATGTCTGTGGCCTGGATGTCCAGCCACCAGGTCTGCCATTGATATGGAGAGCACATTCCAGCATCCAACGCTAGCGTCAGCACCAATGATTTCCAACTGGAGGAAGCCATGCCAACGCCCGCACGCAATCAGCAAAAACGGTGCCGCGTAAGTGAAGGGGATTCCTGTTGCGCGGCACCAAATATCCCAACCCAAACTGAAGCTTCAATCACATTGATCCAAATCCAAGCCACAGTTCAAGCATTCTTACCGATATTGCAACCCAGTCCTGAACATCACCCTAGTCCTGTGCTTCACCCTCGCCAGCGCAACCGTCCTGAGGAAGCCGATGCGCATGTCAGCCCCTGCCGTGAGGAAGGTGAGCATTCCCACTGAAGATTTTTTTTTGAGTGTTGGTTGGCTTTGATAATGCAGAGACTTCACAACTGCAAGCTTATATTGCAAGTATAAGTACAGTATATGTAATGATTTATGTTGTATTGATATCAAGGGCCTACCCTACCCTATTGCCGTGAAATGGTGTCACAACGAAGGGCGCTGATAGGCCGCCCTGAAAAACTCATGTCTTCACTCTTCGTTGCCCGCTCGCCTTGATGCGGTGCTTGCACCAGCTCAACAAGACTCGACGCGCTCGTCGTTCGAGCTGCACGGCCTTCGCCATCACGGCTCTCGCCACAAGATCAACAAGTCGGCCTCAGGCTCCTCGGGCTCCTCGGGCTCGGCCCTCAGCTCCACCTCCATCTCAACCATCTCGGCCTTCTCAACTTCTGCGTGCCTGAAAAGGACAAGGAGACACAAGGGAGACATAAGACACATGCAAAGCTTCTGCTGTTGTCAGACCCGTAAAAAAAAGAGAAACATACGTGGGCCGATCATCTGCACTCGTCAGCTTTTTCAACCCTCCACTCCTCTCTTCATCCGGATCGGAGCACGCGAGCCTGTTCATCTGTCTGTGGTCTCCCATCGGCAGTTCATCGACATCTGTTTTCTTGCCAAACAAGGGGGGGCAGCAACAGTTCAAGATCTGCATGAGGCAATTCTTCCATCGCTCCTTCCTGTTTCAGGGCGGAATTTGGTGCATGCGTTGGCATCCAACTAGATGACTATACAGTAGAAAACGAACAGGCCTAGGTATAGAAATTACTGGTACGATTGATCCTTCAGATAATGGGACTCCTCCATTTACAGTATTTCTCGTCATTGGTAACGTTTCTAAATGGACCTGTTTCGAAAAAGGCCCAAAGGCTGTAAGGGTATAGTGGAGCACGATGGATTTCGCAGATCTTCTCCAGAACTGTTGACACTGATCTTCAAGTCTTTGACTTGCATCGTTGAGGTCCAACCTGGGCAAATGAAAAAAACTGCGTGTTCAACCCCCGACAAATGGAGGTCGTCTGGACTTAACCCTCACCAGCTCTGGCTGGGCAACTCATGGCCTGGACTGAAGATGCTTGCCCTCCAAGGAACTGTCATTGTACCAAGTAAACCACAAGAGTCCAGAAAGTCCCAGCGGCCCACAATGCCCGGAGACTGCACCTCTTCAGATTCCATTCTTCCGAGTGTCAAACGGAAGTGGCATTACACCCCAAGCAGTTATTGAGCATCTCTTCAGCCATTTGGTGAAAAACATGTCGCGCTACAGTATGGAACAACTTCTCCACCCATCCGGGCCTGAGACTGCCTGCATGGGAAAGACCTGGTGAATGACTGGACCTCGACAACTGGCACTTGTACCCGACTTGCACAAGTGCCAAGGGGTACAAGAAGATGCGTCTTGAGGGAAGGGGTTGTTATCTGCTATCTGTCTCTTCTTGTCTGCGCTTAAAACACACGTGCAAACGACAGGGTGCAAAACTCCAAGTGGCTTGACCGGCCATCTTCAAACTCAAAGATTATGACCTTCCATGCGGGAGTTCACGTCTGAGGGTCCGCCATCACGACAGATGAAACTTTCGAGGGCAAAAATTGCTCATCTGAAATCCAACAGTTCAAGGCACTTGAAGCTGCAAAGAACCTCCCGGCCCAATCTGAAAGGACCACTGCGCTTGACCGCCAGGTGGGAGCACTCGATACCGAAATCTTGACTGCCCTGGAGAAAAGGTGCCCAGGCCCACACCATTTGATCCTGAGTTATCAATATATGACCAGTTGAACTGCAAAGAAGTTCCCCCTGAGTAGAGGGTTGAGAGGCAATCATGAGATGTGGAAAAGAGCAACACAAACGCAGTTCCACAAAGATCCAGAGCTTCAACCCTGCATCAAAATCACACTCATGCATTTATTCAGATCTATATATGCAGATCTATGATCTATCGTAGATTGCTTGAGACTGCAGGGTCTAATCCACCCGTGCATTGATTTTCTCAGCGGAGTGACCCGAATCAGTCAGACCCTTCAGCGCAGCAGTGCCAGTGATGACTGCAAGCAGCTGGGGAAATTGGAAAACCCCGTCGGAGATGAGAAGGAACTTCCTGGGCCAAACAACTTTATTAGTTGCCATAATCCTCTTTTACGCTTGCACCTCTCGCAAAGTGCTCTTGAAAACCGGTGGACATATGTGTGTGTGTGTATGATCTTGCTTTCAGCTGTGGCGGAAATTACAGTAATAGGTCAAAAGCTAGACCAATGTCAAGGCTGCCAAGGCTCTCTTTGATCTTCTCTCTCATCCGCTGGCTAAGCATTGGCTGCATCGCCATCCACAACAAATTGAATCCTTAAATAGGTGAATGAACTGTTCCAACAAGCACAAGCATACCCAGCAGAATCACCGCAACGAAAAAAACTATATAAAGGGTGTGAAATGGTCATTCCATCATAAATATAATTGTAAATATCAGAACTAGACGACGAGTGGCCCGAAAACATTTTTCATCACGTAGGAAGTCAGAGTGCGAGTTATCCGGTAAGTGTGCGGTGTGAAGTGTTACGTAGGTTTCCTGCTAGTAGCTAGTAGCTTAGTGGCTTCAGCTAGATGTCCACACGGCATGAACATGTGAAACATGTGACGTGAACGGGTCATGGAGATTCTCGGTTGCGGAGAGCGTGCCCAAAGTGGAGAGATAAAAGGTGCCCATCATGATGTTCGATGATCTAGGTCATCGACATAGGTGGAGTGGAGTTGATTCGGCGAAACGAAACGAAACGAAACGAATCGAAACGCGAAACGAAGCGCGAAACGAAACACGAAACTAAACGAAGTCGAGTGAGTTGAGGTAGTGTGTGGGCTTCTGTGCGTGTGTCTATGTCCGTGTGGAAATGAGTCTGCGTATGTGTGTGATCGTGGAAGTTGAGGGAGTGTGTGGGTGTCTGTGTGTGATGCGGCCTCCCAAACCCCCCACCGGCGGCCAAGCGGTGACAGCCCAGCTCATCGTCGTGAGCAGTTGGGCTGCTGGTAAGGGGACAATGGCAGCCAGCGTGCTGGCTTACCCACTTCAACTATGATGGCAGCCAGCGTGCTGGCTTTGCCATCTGGACAATGGCAGCCAGCGTGCTGGCTTACCCACTTCAACTATGATGGCAGCCAGCGTGCTGGCTTTGCCATCTCAACAATGGCAGCCAGCGTGCTGGCTTACCCACTTCAATTAGGATGGTAGCCAGCGTGCATTAGGATGGTAGCCAGCGTGCACTCATAGGAGGGTTGCGCGGGCACCCGCCACATCGCACTCTCGCCTGCATTTCGCGCACTCGACACGCACGATCTCCG